TAACGTTTGTTTCTCTGGTAATTACACCACCATGGCTGACTTTTATGCACAAATAACTGTTTCTTGACTACGTGATGAATTTTGAAACCTTTATCTGATAAAGTAACCTTTGTTTAACTGGTAATCTCATCACTAACTTTTATACATAAACAGTAGTTTCTAAACTAATTTATTTATTTATTATTGTCTACCTTGAACCAAAATTCTGAATTGCTTTAGTGACAATTATGTGAGATAGTTTACCGAAAACAAAGTGTATGTATACGTTTTTCAGCGAAACCGGTTATTAGCTTGCTTATTTTGTATTCATTTAGAATACTTTCTCTTGTTTAGTTAAGATGCAGTGTGATTCGACATCGATGACAGCGGTTCTCCGAGTCTCCAAACCTTTTCGAGGGACGGTTTACGCCTTAGGTCATCCCAAAGAATGTTATGCTGTGACGGCAGGAGATAAAGGAGAAATCGCCATCACACTCCCACTCCATGGCCGAAAATGTGGCACTAAGAACTTGGTAAGAGACTTAAGTAAATTGTTCACATTCTTCGTAGCTTGCAGACGTTAAGGAGGGCACTAGCCCCAAGAGATAGTCTGTGAGCGTATTGTGAAAGAAGTAAACGTACCTGTTTGTTCAAATATGCGCTTCTCAGTTTGGGAACTGCTGTCTTGTGTACTTCAAATCTTTAACAACAGAAACTGTGGATGTTTAGATGTATTTAACACCAACAATAGAAACAAAAATGCAAGAGCAGATTAAGGAAAATATAGTTTTATCAGTCATGCGCAGAACAGTTAATATTTTATACGTGCTTCCCCAATTGATTTGTTTATAATATTAACTAAACGGACCGAATGACACGTTAAAGCCCCCCCCCCTCCCCCAGTGGCACAGCAGCGGTATGTCTGCGGACTTACAACTAGAATCCGGGTTTCGATACCCGTGGTGGGCAAAGCACAGATACCCCATAGTGTAGCTTTGTGCTTAATTACAAACAAACAAAGACACGTTAAAAGTTTCACTGAATTGTAGGTGTTTCCTTGCCCTTCTTTGTGTATTACGTAGTACCTACAACTTATTTTTTATGATAAATAAATAGCATTTATATCCAAGCACTATACTTGATACGCGATTATCATGTCCTGTACTATTTTAAACAATATTTTGGAGTACTTGAAGTGCAAGTGAACCTATCACTTATTTGTTAACACACTGCATAAAACATGGATAATAATTATTCCGAACATTATAATTATAACAAGGCAAAACGAATGTTATAAAATGAGCCAATCATCAACCTAGTTCATTTTTCATGCAAACCAGACATGGAATGGTTAGTTATTTGATCTAAAATGCAAATGATTAGTCATTCAGCCTATAATATGCCCCCCCCCCAGTGGCACAGCGGTATGTCTGCCGACTTACAACGATAGAAACCGGGTTTCGATACCCGTGGTGGGCAGAGCACAGATAGCCCTTGTGTAGCTTTGTGCATAATTAAAAACAAACAAACAAACCTATACTGTGTATAGTGATCTCTCACAGTCTTGTCTTTTATTGCCATTTTGAAGTTAATCACAGAGTTTTACGTACTGAAAGATATTCATGAACCATAACTAGACTTTAAAGAAAACACTTGGATGTTCCACTCGTGTGAAAAAATATCAGACGAGTGGCGTCAACCAATCACAGTACGTTTTTGTAAATTGACTATAAGTGTTCCAATGTGTCATTAGCAGAATGTGGAACGCTTCCAAACCAATGATACAGTTTCTCGGACCCTCTAATAAGGCATACTCTCGTCCATTATTCTGGCTTGCCACAATCGTAGAGTATCTGCACCAAGACTGAATCAGATGTTCGTAGCCACAAGTAGACCCCGTGTCAGCAGTGTAAACACGCTTCACATTGCCAGCCATGGTGAAAGGGTTTACTACAAAGGATCACCAAAATAATTCAACTAGATTTCAAAATATTCAGATTCTCGAGCGTTCGAATAGTTGATTTTTTTTAGGAGCAAAAAGAAAAATAGTGAATTATTTGAAAGTGTTCGACCTTTTGGACATTTTGAAATCACATTACCAGCTTTTATGCCAAATGCTTCACTCGCATTACGCTAACGGAAAAGCATTAACAAAAACTTAATTGAATGATATTTGTTTTGTACAGATGTACTCTTCAGCCAGACAACACAGGCCTGCGATGGTTTTATTGTCTTGAAATTTTTACATGTCTAACCCCATTTTCGTAGAAGAAAGTAATTGACACAGTTGACGCATGGGAATGTATGATATTGATAAGAATGCGCACTGGTGAGCGTACCAACTTCTACGTTCTGTAAAATTGTATTATTGATATCACACGTTATAGAAGTCCCATCCTACCAGTCTTTGTGTTATAAAATCCTCATTCAATGGTATAATGGACCATGACTTCAACATAACGAATGATTAATTTCCTTCACGCCGTGATCAACTCCTTGAAGAAGAGGGGATCAGCCTCTAAAGGGAGTCTTATACCTAAAGGTCTCAGAATAATAACAGTAAATCAGAGTAGTATTAATTTATAACAAACAAATAGCACAAATGATGGACAAATGTGTGGATTTAAGAAATAATATTCTACTTTTACTGTCAGGAAATATAAGGATAACAGATTAAGTCTTACTAACTTCACAATGTCTGTGTTTGCTATAAATATTTATCATAAACTTGGACATTTGTTCTCATGAGAAAAATTAACTGTAAAAGTTTTTTTCTCTGTAGTTAAAGCATTTAATTTCTTTATGATGCAGGGAAATGGAACATTTACCAATGACGTAGTTGTACAACATAATCCGTTTGTTCTAAGAAACACTGACCGCCGAATCGAAATAGCTTGTGATTATGATGAGGTTAGACAAAGAATCAGAAGTGGGAAGGAAGTGGAGGAAGGGTAAATATATATATATATATATATGTGTGTATAAAATTCCCACATAAGTATTTTAGTGCTTTGATGTATTATTTTCTGTGGACACTCATAGAATTGCAGAACTTATTAAGAACACTTAAATATTGCTTTAATAGATACAGTGAATTATCTTGCTTTTTGTCTGATTTATAAGTTTCATGCACACTTTATTAACAGATCAAAGTTAGCAACCTTATCTCCCAGAACATGTTCCCTATTGAGTACTATTTTCAGGAACATTTTCCTGATTAAACGTTTTGCTAAGGACACTTTTCTGACTGACCTTTAGTTCCAGGGGCATTTCCTTAAGTGAATTTTAATTTTACTACTTTCGTGACTGGTCTTTACTTCAGAGTTATTTTCGTGACTGACCTTTACATCGAGGGTTATTTGCCTGGTTATCCATACTTTCAAGAAATTTTTCCTGGCTAAAAAAAAAAAAAAATCTGCATCGGCTAGTTTCTACATTCAAGAAAATTACACTAACTGATAGACAAGTCTTTTTTTTTTATTATACTTCTTTCGACTAACCTGATATTTTTCGCTGCAGAGTGTCTCAGAGTCTGCCTCAAGTCATCACGGGTCTAGCTCCCACACCGACAGTTAAACTTCTGGTTGTCAAGAAAACAGGAGAAGGGATTAATGGAGTGGAGCTGGGAGACCCCTTGCTTCTGAAAGTAGCAATGTTAGATGAAAGTAAGAAACTAACCGTTGATCAACGAGTAGTTGGTTCTATTACTTGTAAGATCTGGTCTTTATGTACCTCTAGCCAAGTGGTGATGAGGAACTCTATTTATATACTCTCATCTGTGGTGTGTTTAATCTTGTATTTATAAATATATTTTTACCTGGGATTCTTATTGTTCAAAAGTCATAGTTTGTATCTGATAATTTAAGCTTGTGATAGAAACTAAGATGTCAGTATTTAATATCCTACATGTCAGTTTAATCCTGACAATTCTCAGCTTTGAATGATTACCTTGTCTGTGACGTTAATAAGATTCTCACCGAGGAAAGAATTCCTTTATCATTTAAATATAACTTGGGAATATTTTACTTGTATGTTTGGTTAATACAAATTGATCTAACAAACGTACATGTGCAGGTAAGAAATGGTCAATTGACCAATCATGAAAACCTGGATTTATAATTTCTTACGTAATTATGTCTCCGCAGAAAAACATGTTTGTCTGTTGTCTCTTCCTTCTTTCTTTTTCTTCCAAACAATGTTCAATCGACCGCCATTCATTCACTTCTCGGCGGATTGATTGAAACTTAGTAGGGTTATACCTTGGTCCAATACACCCAGAAACCTTTTTAAATTTCTTTTTATTTAGGTTTGACAAATAATTTTATGGGGTCAAAAGTCAAACAACCCAAAAATTGTATATTTTTAGCTCCTGTGCGGTCATATTTCCAGAAATCAGCATGGAAATTGGTACAAATATTAATTTTCATGCGCCCAACACATTGACACACAAAAAAGTTAGGTTTTCCCATTCTGAGCCTTTTAATGGGGGTCAGAACTCACAAAAAAAAAGCATTTGGAGTTTTTGATCAATTACTCGGTTATATTCTGACCAATTTACATAGGACTTGGTACAAAGATACTTTTCGACAGGTCCCACATATTGACAAACAAAAAATGGTGGACTTGCCTATTTTGAGTAATTATAGGGTGGTCAAGATGCCACAAAAAGCATATTTTTAGGGTTTTTTGACAATTACTCTGCCGTATTTCGGTCAATTTACATGGGATTTGGTACAATGATACTTTTTATTGGTCCCATATATATATATATATATATATATACTTATAAAAATGTGGGATATGCCCATTTTTGTTCATTTTAAGGAAGTCAACCCATACTTTTATGGGTTTTGGTCAATTACTTAGCCTTGTTTCGACCAATTTACATGGAATTTCGTACCAAGATAGTCTTTGTAGATTCCAAACAGAGATATAGATAATTTTTGTCTTTTGCCCAATTTCTCAGCAAGGAAAGCACAGTTTGGGGTTTTCGTGAACTATTCAGGTGTATGTCAACCAACTTACATGTGATTTGGTACAAAGATATCCTCTTGCAGTGATATAGACAGTTTTCGATTTTTCTGTGTTTTTCACGATCTTTCAAGTGTCAAAATTGACCATGTTGGAATTGCGTGGCGGAGACATGTTGCATTCGCCCGAGAATGTTGGAGTCTTTAATTGTGTTTTATTTTTAAAATAATCTTTTTTTTTCCGTTACAAGTAATTATTCCTATAAACTCTAAATTAACAGATAAGCTAGTTTTGTAGATGAATAATAAGAAATCGATTAATTGGGCAGATAGATGATATTGATTGAACATCTTATAGGTGTCTATGGAATATTTGGAAGTAGCCTTGTGGCGCTGAGTGGTGAAGGGTCGGATACAATACTTTTGATTGATGACCGTGGGTAGGTATGATTTGTTTCAACCTAAAAAGATTCATACGTGAAAAGACAATTTGCTATATAACTGGAGTAAGAAATATTAACGTTAAATGTCTAAAAATGACGATGAGACAACCACCTACTTAGTAAAACATATAACTGTAAACTTAAAATTATGCTAATAATTTTGTTTATATAATGTTCCCATTTGAACCCTATAGTCAACCATGACACTTTTCACTTAAAAAATGCGTTGGAACATTTGATATTACAATAAGGCTCACTCTCTCTCACATGGAACCTCGTTCTGAGGTCCTTAATATTTCTAGAAAATATTAACCTTTCTTGTCGTATGACGTCCAACCCTTCTTGTGCTTTCAGATGTCCAGTGGAGCCGAACGTGTTCCCTTCGTTAATACCAACCCCAGGATCCAAATCTCTTCAAGCTCCGTTTCAGGCCTTCAAGTTTGCTTCAGATAGCACAGTCAGGTTTCGGATGACAGTATCGTTTTGTCTGGACGTCTGTCCACCGGTAAATGATAAATAGCCTTAGAATCAAAATTGCACAAGAACTGTAGGAAGAAGCCTGAAAGGGGGGAATTCCAATGTGTAATTAATTCATTAGATTATAGCCTGTCTAGGTAATATGGTATCATAGGATAATCATACCTAAACAAAATCTTCTGACAAAGATACCAATTATAAAATTTGTTAATAGCGACAGACATGGTTTATATTTTGTTTTTGACCACGAGTAAAACTCGACATGTATGGGTAAACTTCAGGACAAAACTCTTATTATTATTTTTCATTCTCCAATTAAAACATAACAAAAACACGACAGCAATTAAACATGATTTATAAAATTCCGAAGATAAAAATCACGGAAGGAACTTCCTTATGTGCAAAAAAATAATGCAAGTAAGCCGTACAGAGGTCACTGTCCTTATCACGTGATAAGTCACCACAAGTTTTGAAGGCAAATAAAAGCATACTTCTTGTTACTGTGTAAAATGACATAATTTTGCGGATAAGCTCAAGAGTCCTCTGGGTTCTTTGCTTGTAGTATGTAGGAAGAATGACTCCCTTCGCCCGTGGATCTTTCTTTTTTTTTACCGAACATAGTAACGGGCAGTGAAAAGTAAATAACACATTTTGCTTTAAATTTACCGGAAAATAGCAGGTTAGGATAGATAAACTTGGACAAAATTCAGTTTTTGTAGGATTTTTGCTGCAGGTTTAAGAGTCATGTGTATAGTGAAATAGGATCTTATTATTGGACAAAACTCAGTTTTTGTAGACTTTTCTCTCTACAGATTTAGGATTCATGTATACAGAGAAATGGGATCTTGTCATTCGTAAATGAGTTTATAGAATATCCATATGAAAAATAAGGGAACATTTAGTTGCCAGAAGAGTGAAAAGACATCTATGAAAATGTTACCACTTATGAAAAACTTGAACACAGAATGTGAAAAAGAAAAAAAGTTTTGCGTGTCAATATGTGTATGTGTTTATATTAGTGCAGTGATTTTCTAGTACTACCTTCTTATAGTTAATCAGTCAGACCATAAATTTATAAACTCTGTGAAAAAAATAAGATATTTTTTCAAAAGCTATTAACATTCAAGACAGAGATACGTGTATGTTTTTAATAACACTTCCAGTTTTATATATATTCTGATTTAATGTGATTCGTCTGTTAGTAAATACTCTATTTTAACATCATCTTTAAACTTCGTATATTTTTCTGTTAGGTTGACTGTAATAGTAATTATACACAAAGCTTTCAAAGACATCGAAGATCAACAGCAAACACGTCCTTTCTTGAAATACAAGCTGGTGATTTCATAAATGACGTCATTATGGAAAGTACATTATTTACTGTTGAAAGCTCCAAGTCAGCGCCACCTGTAGAACCAAGAGCAGGAAAGCTTAATGTCGAAAGTAAGTCACCATATATAAATACTAATTTATACAATTGCTTAAGGTTTTCATTGAATGTAAAATGTACACACACAAAAAGAGCAATCATTCCCAATGAGAACATTGAAAGTAGTCTGATCTTCAAATGACCAACTTGTTTTATATATTGAGGCCCTGGCTTTGTGACGTGTCTGCTCGTCCTGTTGGGATTTTACTCTATTATCCTCAAATATGGAAGCTGTTTTGTGACAATGACTTCTCATTTTGGGTCTGACCAGGATGGTGTATTGAGGTCCATCTTGAATGCCTTCAGGATGTCGTCTGAACGTGGGCCATCCAGTGGTGTGAAATCCTGTGCTTAACTGACTATGGCCTAGTTCGGGCGCTCGACTCACAGTTTGCGGGTCGCGGGTTCGAATAACCATCGCCAAACATGCTCGCCCTTTCAGCCGTGGGGGCGTTATAACGTGACTGTCAGTCCCACTAACTGTTGGTAAAAGAGTATGTTACGTTTTATAATTTCGAATGGTGTGAAACTGAGTTAAATAATAATTTAAATTTAATAGTTAAAATTGTACTTTGGATTTAGTATTTAAATATATGCCGATATATA